ATCGATACCGAAATGAGCATGTGTACTGGATCGATACTAGTGCGATGAGATTGATGCTTTTCTTTACGCTTTATTTGAACTACTGACTTAATTTTTCACAAATAAAAGGGGAAAATAAAGTCAGTAGTGCAGGGTATTCAAATCATTTGTAGTTAATTAGCTGAAACCCCTCCTATCCAGCTGTGTTTCCACTGACCATGAAAATGCGCAAATTGGAATTTCGAAAATAAATTTGCCCAATGGAAACACGTCAATTTAAAAAATATATATGTTTTTCAACAAAATGGTTTTGTGCTAGGAAGAGGTGGTTTTTCAGTCGTTTCGAAATTAATTTATTTTGCAAAACTGCAAAGGAAACACTTTTTTCGCATCGCGGGAGTCATGTGATCAAGAACCAGCTGTTTCTACAGGCGAAAATACAAAGAAGAAGAAGAAGAAGAAGATAACAAGAAGTAAAAGTAGTAGTGAAATCAACGAAGTAATAAAAGAAAGTATTAAACTCACTGACTACATTTTCCCAAAAAGGCAGCATACGTAGCCACTCCCAGGTATAAGGGGCTTGTCACTCGAAAACCTCGATAAGACGCCGACGTCTCCTCTGATGGCTGATGAGGAGCGCTAGTGTCGTGGTAGCAATATGCTATGTGTTTACATCCATTGTCGCTATGTTTGTAATGACTTACCGCGAGAACAAGCRTATTCACGCAYGACTTTAATAGCGCTTCTTACTTAACGGAAACACCGCAATTTCAAAACTGTTTTTCGACATTAGCAAAATACCGACAAATTTTTGCACACATTTGCAATGGAAACGCAGCTATTGTTGTGCAAGTGTGCAATGGAAGATATTTTCTTTTGTGTTGTTGACAAGGTTATATTTATAATTTTGTTCCATTGATGCATTTTTATTTGCCTAATTATTGTCCTGTGTTTTATCATAACCAACTAAACACAACAATCCCCAAAATATTCAATGAACATGAAATTTTAAGTAAAAAGTATTGGTACAAGCAATACTCGCCCTGTAATTTGATTGATACCAAAAATTCCTCATTTTGCCCACCTCTAGAGTAGATGGCTAAACATTGCTAAGATGATGTATGCTAAACGCTTACAATAAAACCATTTCATATATCTCACATGGCATAAACAGTTGGAAATTACTGAGTGCATTCGGGACGCTGCCCGCCCCTACGTGGCAGTAAACCGCTCTAAAGAGATTTGGTCTGTCATTGACCAAAGAGATGTCCTTTCAGCCTCAAAGCCTCTGGCCATAAATATTAAGGGTGTGGGTCGGCGTGTCCCCAAGCTTGTCAGTAGGCAGAATCAAACACTCTTTTCTGTTTTCACTCAGCAAACTAAAGCAGCAGTCCTTGAGGGATGTGGAGGGAAAAAAAAGCTTGACATCTCAGACAACACACACGGTCAGTTATTGCTCCCTTTATGGGTTTTTATGGAGGCTCCAAAAACAAAAATAAAAATGGGATTGTTTTCTTTATCTAAGGAGTTGTTTTAACAGCCATTCACTAAAGCCCTGATTATYTACATATAGTAACCATAACTATACATGTCAGGCCTGTTACACTTTAGATTTCAACAAATGGCATCAAATATGATAGTATAGTTAATGTATATAAGGTGTCTGAAAGGGGGTGAGTTTTTTTAGAATTTGCAAAAAAGGGATTGTTTACTTTTACAAAACTGTCATTTTGCTCAAGATAAAGACCCATCCATTCATTGGGCAGCACAATGGATCAGTGGTTAGCACTGATGCCTCACAGCAAGAAGGTCCTGAGTTTGATACCCGTTTAAGACCTGGGGTCTTTTTGTATGGAGTTTGCATGTTCCCCTTGTGCTTGTGTGGGTTTTCTCCAAGTATTCCGGTTTCCTCCCACACATCAAAAATCTCTAATCCTCTTTACCCATTTTTTTCTGGGTCACAGGGGTCACTGGTGCAAAAGGCAGGATTATACCTGGACAGGTCGCAAGTCCATCACAAAGTCAAGATATAGATCCAAGTCACTGAGTTAAAATACATTGTCGAAGGAAACTGTCTTTTTATTTTGCATGAGGTAATTATTTCCATAAAGTTTAACTTTACATTATTATTTACACCCTCTTTACATCTATCATGTCCAAATGTGTGCCCTATTTTTTAAGATTTAGTATTTGCTACAGCAAAATTTTAACTATTCCTATACTTCTATCAGTCAACTACAATTTGCACTAGTGCTATTCTGTGACAGGTTTAAGGTTTTTGTGGTTATTTAACAAATTCTAAGACGTGAGTATAAATTTTAGAAAACTATCTGAGCCGCACTGGACTGGACAAAAATTCAAACGATGGAAAAGATCCGACCAWGTGCTTGAATTTGTTCGCCTCAATGAGGATGTAAAGTGTCTAAAATGCCAGTAAAGAAATGAAGAAAATAGAAAACARGAAAACTATTTAGCTGCTTTGATAYGAAATGAGTGAGGGATTTATCTTGGGTCACCTGAACATGATATATTTTCATAAAAAGTAAAGACAGGCGCAAGAAGAATGCAAGTGGAACCTTGAAACAACTTCAAAAAAACAAACAAAAAAACAAACAAAGCTCATTTTGAAAAATATTGCATTCTCTCAACTGTGCTTTGTCACTGTTGAAAGAAAAAAATAGTAGTTGTCAAGTTATGCTTTGGTTTAAAATGATAGCCTGAGGTCTGCAGTTCCATTTGCTTTTTCAGAGATAAGGTTAGGAAACGGCACCTCTCTGCACCGTCTGCCAAAATGGATAGCAACCACTTAGAAAAGAAAGAACATGTGAACAGTACAGTTTGGAGAAAGAAACTAGACAATTTGGCATTTTAGTGGTCAGATTGAAAACACAGCACTGCAGAAACTTCTAATGAAAAGTGCTTTTTTTTTGTAGTTGCTGCGTCGACGAGTTCTTTAAGAAAAGATACTAACAGCACAGTCTGCCCAAAGTTGAGACGAGTTTGGTGAGAAATAAAAGAACTAAAAAAAAAGGCAATTCAGGAATTCTGCAGTAAAAATCTTCATAAAACATGGTTTTAAAATAAAATACACACTGCTCGATAGGTGATTTGTTGAAGCTGCACACAAACAGCCTTTTCCAAAGTACTGTCACACCTCTGATTGACTGAGCTAAATTTTGCYGTATTTTGCCAAAGGCTTTGCAGAGGCAGCGCTCGGTGAAGACGACAAACTTAGACTTCTTCTTATAAACACAATTAATGAGTCGAGCTTCTGTTTTTATACTTTAAACCACTCGTTTTGATTATCTGCCATTTTTTCAGTGTTGATCATTAGATTCCAGGAATATCCCACATCATGCAAAGAAACAAACTCTATGATGGCTTGACATTTTTAAATCAACCCTAACATAAACAAGAAGAACTAAAAGGTTTTAGAGTTACTGGAAACTATGAGTGTTTAGGTTTTTCCTTAAGGTTTGTTTGTCACATTCCTCCAAATACATTGGATTATTATAACGAAGACGAGRCAGGAAGGTCTCATGGATTCCTCTTACGATAGCAGAAAACAGGAGTTTTGCAAGCGGGCGTAGGTTGTGTAATAAAACCCAATTAGGGAGCAAATTTCACACCTCTTCTTCTCGTCTTTCGGCCACATCTGCCGCCAAGCACTGAGCTCTGAGTCACGTTCGCCATCCGGCAAATCCACATCTGTGTCCCGCCTTGTCAGTCAGCCTCGTTCACCTCCATCCACCTCTGCACCCCGCATTAAGAAAGCATCCTTCTTTTTTTTTTTTTTGCGAGCTGAAGGTGTGTGGATTTCATTTCAAAACAAGCGTGGTACCAGGTGCTGGCCTGCAGACTTTTCTTAAAAGAGCCGAGCGAGAGGCAGGAGGGGGAGGAGGAAAGAAAGAGGGCCGGCCGGGATTTTTGAGAGGAGTCGAGTCTCTGACGCAGACGGGGAGTGGAGACGGTTGCCATGGAAACCCCACCCTGCCCCGCAATAAGTCAATGAGTGAGTGAGGAGAGGAAATTGAGGGCAGAGTGAATGGGAAGACCGTGAGCTCTGGAGCGCTGAGATTTTCCTTATGTCTGTGAGGTATAGAAACATAAAAGAAGGAGGAACATCACAACATCCCCTTGAGCCCACTTATCTTCTATCACCACCATGCTGGGCCCGAGCTGGACTCTCACAGCCAGGACTGGACACGGGTCTGGTCTGGTTTCAAGGTATATCACAATTTTTTAAAAGTGCAAAACTAACATGGTTACCAACTGTTGTTCTAAYACTCTACAGCAGACGTGCTACCAACCTGCTACCAAAACAACACATAATTTTGCAATGTGTGGGGAATTTTTTTAGCAGCAGTAGTAAGAGTATGAACATTGTTTTAAATAAATCACATCATACTTCTTTATATTTCCATTTCAAAGGCAGGCCAATTTACTTTGCTGTGTTCAAAGTATACAGCACTGACTTAGACGGTGGCAGACTAAGCCAGGTAAGCACATTTGACAGCAGTACAGTGTTGTTGCATAAGATACTAAACCCTTGTGTCAATCAAACGGCACTTTCTGCTACATGGTTGTTTCTCACGGCAGGCAGGGGTGCTTTTTTTTTTGGCACACCAGCAGATTTGAAATGAAGTTGATAGTTTTAACTTTTAAAAAGGTGTTSACCTCTTTGTTTTTCCTATTGACCAGTATTATAGTACAAGCATTTGTCCACATTTCTTTAGATGCTCCCCCACTTTTGTTTTGTGAAAACTAGTACAGTGTGTGAATTATACACTGTTAGAAATATGAGCCAAAACCAGTGACTGATTTACAATGGCTTTAAACACAGATGGCAACTTTTTAGATTTTGTAATACCATGAAATCAWAGTATATTTGCTCAGTGTTATCATATAATCAAAATCTCTATCTGATCCATACCTAGAGGGTTTTTTTCCCTAGCTTTCTTTAACATTTAATGGCTCTACATCACAAAGAAGCTATATAACAAATTGTTGGACTCTGAGGAGCTTTTACTCKTTTTATTATCCTGATTAACTTTATCTTCTATCAGACATCAAGCTAAGGAAAAAGATATGTCAATTAGCTGGCAAATACATTTCAAGAGGATTTTATYAGGATACATAGTTGACTTGCATATTGAGTTTGTAGCAATACATTAATAAAAAACACTGAAACAGAACAATTAATAAAAGAGAAAGGTAAGCAGCAGATAAACAGGAACACTTCCTGCTATGTTGGCGAACCAAAATAATGAAACCAACAAATTCATTTGAGTAAAATTCTCATTTGTATGAAACCTCAGCATAAAACATGGTTGCCACAACCATGAACGTAAACTGTTCCAGTTGGTGGCAAACTTCCCATTAACTGCCATTCCAATGCCAAAGCACATTAAAATATATACACATATACGTATTTGCACAAATGAATGAACAAAAGGAAGTGAAATGTAATAAATGTCAGAAACGTGTGGACAGTTTAAACTCATATCACAAAATATACCCATCATACGACCACATTCARGAATGTTCAACAAAATGCTCCTTTAAAAAAGTAGCAACCTCTGTTTTCAAGCTTTTTTCTGCTCTTGGTAAATATATAGTGGTCATGTAAAAATTATTAGGGTGTCAAGTTAAAATTATCTACTTTTATTTAAAAATGTTCAGAAGTTATCGGTGCAGGTTTATTTAACCCTCCTGCTGCCCTTGGGTCAAAAGGACGAATGTCGGAAACGATCCCCAGGTTTTGAGCTACAAATTTTAATCCCAGGGAAAAGCTTGAAGTAACCAGTTGCATTTGTTTATTGAACTGGTTAATACGAGGTTAATAAGAAGAAATAAAATGTAGAATATAAAAAAATTCATTAAAAAGGACAGAAAAAAGTGTTAGTTATTACCTTTATATTAAGCCATGTCTGAATAAAATGGTAAACTTACTCTAACTTTAAAAAAACATTGAGAAATTTCATAATTATATCATCGTTTTCTAGAAAGCATCGTTGTTTCTTCTGTTCTCACATCCTCCGACAGTGATAGTAGGTGAGAAACTGAAAAAGCAGATCATCACCAGGTCATATGCAGGTATAAAAAGCAAAAAGGATGTTCCATTATTATTTAAAGACACCTCATTTGATCATCACTTAGTGCTTTTCTGTGTTCACAGAGCCAAACGGTGAGGCGAAGAATATGAATGAAGAGCGTGTGTGATAATGTGAAAGGAAAAAGTGAAGGATAAAGAAGTTGGGGAGCAGTTTTTATGTTGCCCTTCGAGTTACTCCCTCACAATGTCTTCAACTCTTCACAAATCATTTCAAATTCTTCAAATGGTTAGCCAACATTTTTCCTGCTCGTCTGTGGAGCCTTTAAATGAAAAGCACACAAATTATAAAAATTAAAACCAAATTTTCAGTTTCTACCAAAATATTTGAACCATTATTGGTCTGCGTAGCACACTTAGCAACTACTCCTATTTTGCTCAGCTCTCCATCAAACCTACGTGGATTACCAGACGGTAGGCCTGATTTCAACATGGGCTCGGACTATTAACACGCTGACCTTGGATTCCAACCAGGCAATTTGTCTAAAAGTTGGCACAGCCTTAGCTGCYCTCACTGACTCTGCTCAAGCTTCATGATTGGTATGAGTGGCAGTAACTCTCCCACTGTCGGTACATCAGCCTTCATCCCTGGTGAAAAATGTCTTTTCTTTACCACTCAAAGGTTATGTTTAAATTGCTGTGATCAACTGCTTCACATCCATCACTTGTAATTTTCTTCTCCTTTTCCCCCCTAGTCTCCATTATATTTATTGCACATCAAGGCAGGCCTCAATGGAGCACTTTCCTTATCAATTTCGCATAGTTGTTTTTTTGTGTGTCTTGTTTTCAAGTCGTCTTCATGAATGAAGCGAAGATGAAAAAAGTGCCAAAAGTGCTTACCACGTATGGCAATCTGCTGGAAGTAAAATGCTATGCAGTCTTCAGAACTAACTGTGTAAAAATAACAGTATTTGTGTTTTCCTTGGTTTGGTTGGTTTGGTTCCATTTGGCTGCAATGCATGCTCCAAAATTTCACTAAACCCCACACAATATGACTCAGCGGGTTACCAATCTCCATTTGTGTATTGGCCCATTTGTTCATCTTGCAGCAGAATCTGTCCCTTCCTTTATCTTATTTTCAGCCTAAGATACACATTCACCCAAGCTCAGTCATGACTGAAGGCCTTTGTAGGTTTTTTAATGTCAGTCTATGTCAAGTCTAGTCAATCCTGATCCTCGAGGTCCGCAGCCCTTCATGTTTTACGTTTTCCCCCCTCTCTGACACACCTGATTCAGTCAGGGAATTACCTCTTCCAAGTTCTGCAGAAACCTGAAAATCATCCATTCATTCAAATCAGGTGTGTTGGAGCAGAGAAACAAGTAAAATGTGAAGGACTGTGGAGCTCGAGGACCAGAACTGGCTATCCCTGGTCTATGTAGAACAACTGACCTTGCCGATGTGCATGTGTTCGTATTCATATCGTGGCCGAATGTGCAATAGCACTGACTCATCAAATCAAAAATGTGCATTTAGTTCTTTAGTTGGCAATAAACTGACATGAATTTCCTCTTTCTGGATTTCTTACCAGAAATTTTAATTTGTTTTGAACTTGAATTCAACATGATTTTTGGTACCACCATTCGAACAATGATGGCACACCATAGTCAGCACAAAAAGTCTCAACAGTTTGCAAAAGATTATTGGTCATTTTATGAAATGGTTTTGCAACATGGCCTCAAAAACCAGTCTTCCTTTAAGTGGCTTGTGACTGTTCACCTACCAACAGAATCTCACTCCCGACTCATCACATACTGACGCTTGTCCAAGGTTCCCTCTGCGTCCGGTCTTCACGCATTGGGTAATCTCCTCACGTCAAGTTATTGACGCACAGGGCTTTTCCAGGTGCGGCTTCGGGTTGAGGTCCATGGCTAATATTGGGGATCAGGATTACTGGTTAGTTTTAGGTGGTGAGGTCAGGGATAGGATGTCTAGGGATAACAGAAGTTAAGTTTAGGTTTTGGGGCGGTTTGTTGTTGTGCATTTTCTACACGTTTCAAAAATGGTTAAAATTAACAATCACGGTTAATGGTTAATTTTATGTATTGAGGTCAGGGATAGGATGTATAGGTCTACTAGAAGTTAAATTCAGGTTTTGGGATGGTTAGATGTCGGACATTTTCAACAGTTTTCAAAAATACGACAATGGACTCCTCCTTGTTCTCATCTCGTCAACAACTGACGCGAGGGGGTTATCCAACGCATCAAAACCGGACACAGAGTGAACCTTGACAAGCGTCGATATGTGAYGAGTTGGGAGTGAGATTGACACACATACACACACCAACCGAGTAAGTTATATCCTGTGAAGAGGTACGTTTACACAAATGAAGCTTGCATCTTGAAACCATAAGAGGCGATGTGTACAACTAAGGCGCTTTGACGTAAAGGTCTACTTAGGCCTAGATGATAAAAACAGCTTCCCGACCTCTCACGGTCCAGCTAAGCAAGGTGTGATGGCATCATCTAACTCCCTCACTCTGGTGATTGAACAACAACCTGTTGAGTAACATGTTTCACCACCGTGCCTCAGAACTGTTTCAAAATAAAGAACGACGTGGAGTGAAAGAAGAAAATGAGTGCAGCAGCTCCAGAGGAAATTGTGGATAAAAGAGGAATGGTCACGTCACCAGTTTGGCAAGATTAATCAGCTTTTTTTCTCCTGGTCCTTATTTAAAATAGGTAAAACAAACAAAATAGAAATCATCACCCAGCCTTAGCACTGCCCATAAAATGCATTTGACATCTCCCAATCTAAACCCCATGAGCCATCTGGTCATTCAGAACTTACATCGCACCCTTGAGCTGTAACGCTGTGGTTTGCTTTTACATACAGTATATCAACCGTTACAGCTCTGAGGCTACTTCCCTTGGCAGCTCAGTTCAATCATTTCAAAGCAGAATGAAGCTTTCTCATGTTCAGCTTCAAATTATTTGAAAACGAGGCTGTGAAATCACGACTTGCCTTTTAGCTTGTTCCCTCAGCAGCACTGGGATCTATTGGTGAAGCTTCATTAACTCACCTTTTTCCACCTCTCTTTGTAGTTTGTCTACATTGAATTTACTCGTATGGTTTCTACAGCTTGGGTCTATCGCTTCCTCCCGTTTACCCTTTGTTCCCTTTTATCTTTTACCTCTGATTTGTTCTCCTATTTACTTTCCCTCACTCTCTACAGCTCTGCTATCTTCAATGCCTCACCAGCAGCAGCTCTTCGAGTGGTTATCAGGGAAAATTATGCTTGTGTTGCAAATAAACAGCGCTTGTCTTTTTGTTTTTTCTTGATGTATTCCGTTCGGAGGGGGAGATGAGGAAGCAGTTCCAGTGAAATCCTCTCTTGGCCTTAAAGAATGTGCCTCCATTACGGGATTCAGGGGAGAGTTTGGCTACCATACAGCTGGCCCTTATAGCACAGCTAGCGCTAGATAGGAGCTTGTATACACGACCACCAAAATTAACAACCTACAGCATTAGCATCACTTTCTCTAAGCTTGTTAAAGCACCAAAAGATTAATAAGGGCCACACGCATATGCAGCCTAGAAACACAGACAAGCATTTGATTTGAAATGCTCTAAAAACACATTCAAGAATCAATAGCTTAAAGCCTTCCAAATCTCATCTTTGATGATCTACACAACACTCAGTTACAACTGTGTGCTCTTCTGAGGCTCCTAATGCAGCTAATTAGAAAAGGAGAGCTGCAGTCAACACTTGATTTTTAAGAGTCCACAAAAATCTGATTCCAGCTAAAAAGCCAGCACTCCAGAAACTAAATGACTTTCCATACAAATAGATAGAGACTGAAACAAATAAGGAACAAAAAAAATTAATCACAATATTTGATCAAATTTAGATTTCAGAATATAAACAAATTCAGAAGCAAGCAGCATGAACCAGCACCAGTCAAGAGGCTCTTTTTCCAAACAGCTACTTACCAAGTTATTACTTTCCCCCCTGAAGCTCCAGAAGCAAACTAGAGCTCATCTCAAAGATTATTACATTACRTCTGTGAGATATTTGGCAGAAAGATTTGTGGGAGGATAAACCTGACAAAACATTCCTAATTCCAGGTCTATTCAGAAGCTTCATCTTGAGCTTTTCTCCAATGTGAAACTGGCCTTATCGACRGACTGCCCAGCTGATGTGGATCTTTCAAAAAATCCCATGACTCTTCAGCAAACACAGCCAAGAAAGTGGGGATTAATTTCTCAACTGTCTGTCAGATGGTAATTTATGATGGGGTGCTCTTGTTGCAAGAAGAAGCGGTTTAACAACAAAAGACATTTTAGGAATCAGAAGCAATTAAAAYTTGATTAATTAAACTGTGATGTGTAATTTCTTTAATTCAGCAGCTTTTGTCGCCCCTGGAGTCCAGAACTCTATTCCAACTGCACTCTTATTAAAAAAAAAAAAAGCTGAACAATGGGAGGATGAAGTTACTCACAGGGGATGGTGCGGAGGTAGAGGTTGTCCCGTATGATCTGCTGCAACTCGTGGTCCACGGAAGCTTTCTGGAAGCGCAGGTTGAGGTAGCGTCGGAGGTCCTTGTCTATCACGCCCCCTAGAGCAGGACAAACATCATAAATGAGCAGATTCTTTATTACTGAAAGCAAATCACATCGGTCGTGTTGTTCTTGTGGAAGTTAATTTCTTATGAGGTGCTTGTAGTATTTGTCATCAATGCAGGTTACATACAATGATGAGATGAGTGCCCACGAGCATGAGAAACACCCAAATTCAACAACAGGCAGCTATTTAAGGCCCTGGAGAGCAGTTAGGGGGTTGGGTGTCTTGCTCAGGGACACCACGGCATGTGGGCATGGCATGGAGTCAAACTAGTGACTTTCTGGTCCCATGTTGGTTGGCCCACCACTGCACCACAGCCGCCCCAAACATTGGTATCAGTATCAGGATACCACTAGTTCACGTATTAAGCTGTATGCCAGCATTTTTACAAGGACTCCTACTATRAATTCCCCAATACTCTAAACCAATATCAATATTGAGAAACTGGTATCAACACACAACTGAATGTGTTTCAATTTACATTCCAATTGAAAGTTTTGTCATTTCTATGTTTAGGAAAGTTGTACGAGTTGAGTATCTTCTCTCAAGTATCCTTTTTTGTTATTTTAAAAATTTACAGCTGTACCCTATATRTCATGCTGTATTTTATGTTTGATCCAGCCATAGGGGCTGTAGGCTTATAACTCATTATTCAGTATCGGTACTTGGTATCGACGAGTACCCAAACTCAAGTACTCAAACCCATACTTTTAGGGACACCACTACTTGCTACAAATTCTAAGCTAGATATGAGAAGCTTGAGATGTTGTTTTATATCCTAACTCTGCTTTGAAGTTTAACTTGCTCCCTGACCTGCCTGGTGTGGTCTTTGGTCTTCATGATGCCATTTGATCACTAATGTAATTCAACAAACCTGACCTTCACAAAACAGCTGTATTTGTACTGAGATTAATTACACAGGTGGACTCTAGGTAACTAGTTGTACTAAATTTTGATACAAATATTGTCACACTTTTCTGTTTTTATTTGTAAAAAAAAAAAAAGATCATGTATCATTTTTCCTTCCACTTCATAATCATGTGCTACTTTGGTCTATTGCATAAAATTCTAGTAAAATACATTAAAGATTTTGGTAACAAGGAGGTGAAAAATCAAAACACTACAGTTGGATGTGCATACAAAGTGGGTTTGAGCAATTAGCTTGAAGAAAAAAAAAAACACTGCTGTGATTTTCATAGATTCTAGGTCATTTGCTGTTGCAAACAATTTGATGTCCCCCTCTAAACTCCTCTGAACCGGCAGCCGGGACTAATGAAAACGCTTTGCACTCACTCGRATGCAGCATCTGTCAAGCGCAGCCGAGGATTGGTGGAGGTGTTAATTGTAGCGCTGGTTCAACACGTGTGCTGAGGCGTCTGCATATAAATCACCCCACGGCCACTACCCAGAGGCCTGCTTGTATTTCTTTATTTATTTTTCAAGCTTCCTTTTCGCCTAAGCCAGCCCTCCTTTCCGCCTCTTACGTGTCTTGAGCAGTTCTGTGAATGGACCCGGTAAAGTTTTGCTGCCTCAGCAGGACAGACAATAAAAACGGTGATGAACGGTGAAGAAATTAAGATAAAGGGATGGGAAAACAATGCACTAGGACAGGGGAAAAAAAGTGATTATCAAATGGACAGAATTTGTATTAGAACCACATTTTAAAGGGGGAGGCGTTATTCGTGACCACCACACTTAAAGCTTATCCATATACAAGGTGGGTTTTTTTTAAAGCAGAGGTGCTGCAAAGGCGGAAAAGACATTTGTCTAACCTTCAGCATCCTGTTTAAAATCGCATTTAGGCACAGTTCCACCCAGCATTAAGCCTTTTTCCTCTCCTTCCTTTCCTCGTTAGTGTTTCTAAAGCATGATACAGTGCATACATGTCAACACACATGTGAAGACAGGTGACACTGCAAGAAACGTAACAAGAGGTGCAATCATTTAAAAAAAAATAACCCAGTTTGGAAGTTTTTGGTCACATTGGCAGCATGAATTATTAAACATTGTTTTTTTTCTCTCTCTTGTGTTCTAGAAAACACTGCACACACACAAGATCATCAGCATGCATCTTGGACTAATTCGCAGAGTGTTTCATTAAAATCATGCCAACCTGAATTAGAGCAACCAGCTGCAGTGCATTTTTTTTACATTTGCATGAGAAAAGAAGCCATCGAGTCTGCATGCTGAAAAGGTGAGCACGCTCAAAAGAAAGAGAATAATAATAATAATAATAATCACAAATTAAATACAGTGGACAGCACCTCTTGCACAGCCAGCAGCAGACTGAGGGTCCCTCTTTCCACTGGGTTTGTGATGCAAATAATTTCCACTGGAAGAAATCTTCCGCCGGATCTTTTGGCGCACACACACTCCCTCTTAAGAAAGACTCCTTCCTGTCCCTCAGGTCCTCAACTCCGTCCCCCGTTTTGTCCAATCAAGCCACTGTCAGTGAAATCACCTCCCTGCTCTCCACGGAGGAATGGATGAAACAGGAGAGAGCGGCAGAAATGACTGAGGCAAAAAAAAAAAAAGATGAAAAAATAAAACAAGAATAGAAGAAGTGTGTATGGGTGTGTGAGAATGAGGGAGAGCGTGAAAGAGGAGGGGAAGTAGTGAGCGAGTGAGTGTGCTGGAGCACAGATTCTCTCCAATGGGGACCGATCACACTAGTATTCCTGTTTCTCATGAAGCCAGATTTTTCAGGTCCTGTATCACCCCCCGCACGCAGCGCTGGGTACTGCAGCTGTTCCACAGCTTCCATATGACCTTCTTCTACAATTAGCAACACCATGGAACTGAAGTTTCATCCAAAAATCAGCTCTGTTCCGCGTTCTTTTACATCTACTGAACATGGTTGTTATTTATGCTTCTTTCTCTTTACCCCTGGTTCAGAGACTGTCGACTCTTACCCTGTTCTGCTCAGGCTGATTTCCATTCATCTTCTTCCATTTCCCTCCTCAACAATGACATCTTTTCCTACATGTCTGTATATAGACATTCCAAGGCTGAAACATAATTCGACCTGTCAGCTAAATCAAATCATCTTTAGAGCAGTAAAAATAAAGAAAATTTCACACAAACTTTGTTTTTTTGCTTGTTCAATAAACTATTCTTCGGTGTCAAAAAATAAAATCAATTACAAACCCCCACCTGAAACTGATTTTCCCTTTAGGAGTGCTTCTACGAAGACAGCGTGAGCCATAATAAAAAAAATAAAGCTTCTCCACATTTTTGATTTAACTGACATGTTGATGTGCATCAGTGGCATTTTCTTTTTTCTCTTCTGTCAACAAAATCAGATGATTTCACACTTCACCTGTCGTTTTTGGTTTCCTCGAATAAATCAAAAATGAACCGAACACACGTCCACAAGAAATAGGGGACTCCGTTTCCCTGACATGACTCGAATAGTCAGCCAGGGTCTAGCGCTTCATTATCGCACGATAATAATCCAGAGAGTCAGTTGGATTACTATTTAGTTTGGAAACAGTGGACAGAATTATCAGAGTATCTGAGGTTATAAAGATAAGATGGAAACTCAGCATCCAGAACTTCATGTGCCAAGAATATACTGTTTGACCAGCAATCAAGATTACAGACGACTTTTTGAATCCAGTTAGCTAAACATATTCTGATGCACCTTTCCTCATATGGTCTTAAAAGCAGTGGTGCCCAAAGAAATCTATTTTTGAAGGGAGCCATTGAAAATCCAGGGGCACACCAAAACTGAAATCCATTACAATTTCAAAAAATTCTATGATGATGTTCTAAAATGCTGATTTGAAAACCACTGTAATATAATAGTTAAGAATTTGGTGGCTCAGTGGTAGASCTGTTGCCTCTCAGCAAGAAGGTTCCCARATTGAATCCTGGCCAGGAACCCTTCTGGGTACAATTTGCATGTTCTCTCTGTGCATGTGTGGGTTTTCTCTGGGTACTCAGGTTTATTCCAACAAGACCAAAAATGGATGTATGGGTGTATCTATGCATGGAGTTTGAGTCCAAGAGCCGTTAAAAAAATTATTTTAATTAAACTTGTGGGAGCCACCTAATGTTTGGACAGATCCTTGCTCCCCTTCCCCCAATAAACCCTCTCTATGCTTGTCTCTTCTCTTCTCTCTCTTTGTCTCTCTGTCAACCATTTGAAGGATTCAAATGGAAGTCTCTAATTATTGGATGTGTTTTCAAATGCAAAGATTGCTATAACGTAGTTTTATACAGATACTACCACACCAAATCTCAGCTTGGTGTGGTAAATAGTGAGAGTCATTCACAACTAACTCGGAACAAGCAGCAGATGATGGGTCTTGGGAAGWCTGAGTCGGGTCGTGGGGGCAGCATATTGAGCTGGGAAGCCAAGACCTCTCTTTCCTCAGCCATCTCTTCCAGCTCTTCTGGGAGGATTCTAAGGCATTTCCAGACCAAATTAGGCACATTAGTGTGTCCTATATATTCTTTGAGATCTCCTCCCAGTCAGACGTACCTAAAGTACCTCCCTAGGAAGGTGTCCAGGAGGCATCCTTACCAGATGAACCACCTCAACTGGCTCCTCTCGATGTAGAGGAGCAGTGGCTCTACTCCAAGTCTCTCCTGGATAACTGAACTCCTCGCCATGTCTCTAAGGAAGAGTCCAGCCACCCTGTGGAGAAAACTCATTTCGACTGCTTGTAAGCCCAATCTCGTTCTTTCGGTCACTGCCCAATGTTCGTAACCATAGGTGAGGGTAGTAAAGCAAACCGACCGGTAAATAGAGAGCTTCTCCTTACAGCTCAGCTCCCTCTTCATCACAACAAATCAGTGCAGTCTGCAATCCTGCAGAAGCCGCACCCATCGGTCAATCTCACCCTCCATTTTTCCTCCACTTGTGAACTAAACACCAAGATACTTGAGCTCCTCCATGTGAGGAAGAACCTCGACCCCAACCCTGAGAGCACAAGATCATACAAGACATACGTTTTACTAAAGGTTTGACAAAAATGGCTGTAACTGGTA